TGAATTTCTTCAGAATTTCAAAAGATGCTTATGAAAATAGCCACAAATGTAGAGATGAGACTTTCAGCAATGCTGTAAGCAGTGAGTAACTTCAGCTCCTAAGATAAAATTGTATTTGCACTGGTTTTTGATCCCCGACATTTCCAACACTCTGCCAGTTACAATCTCACCTGTCATTTTAAAAACACATTTCACAGATGCAGATGTTGTGGGACTACAGATCCTGACTCAGTAAAGCATTTGACAATGCATCTGAATTCCACTTTAGTTAATACTAATGTACATCACAGAGGCAGGTCTTAAGTATGTGAGAGGGGTTATCTGTGAGATCTTTACAATATTCTTACCTGTATTTTCTGTTTTACCCAGTCCAATTAGACTTTATGCAAATATTTATTAGGAAACAGTCACACAGGCACAATAAACACACTCCCTGGGGAAGAAATAATTTATTTTCTTTTTTACGCAATTATATTTTGAAAAATACAGATAACTCACAAAGGCTGTTTGGAGTTTGTCTTAAAAGTATCCCATCTAACGGTGTTGACAAACTTATCTTGGGTTGCCAAATAGGTCAGAAGATTGAAATTCTGGAATGTTCAGAATCTGGGTATTATTTACGCTTTTGTGTCCACAAGGCAAGGGATAAAGGACATCAAGTTTAAAAATAGAGAAAAGATGTAGCAGAATCTTTCTGAAATTTGAGGGACCCAAACCAAGATACCCACACACTGCTCTAAAACATTGTGCTTTAGCACATGAATGTGGCTAAGTATCCCTCAGAAAAATATTCAGAGAAAAAGTCTTGTGCAATATTAGTATAATGCTACTACTAAGCTAATTTTGCTTCCATGACACTGTACAATGCAAAATAGTTGAAGATCCCATGGAACTACAACTCTTGCTAAAGCTATTTCTGCCCATCAAACTAGTTAACTAGCTTGCTGAGTATTTGTTCTATTATTATTATTCCAAAAGCTAAGGAAGATTTAGGTTAGATATAAGGAAGAAGTTCTTTACTGTGAGAGTGTTGAGGCACTGGAACAGGTTGCCCAAAGAGGCTGTGAATGTTCGATCCCTGGGAGCGTTCAAGGCTAGACCGGCTGGGGCTTTGAGCAACACGTTCTAGTTGAAGGTGTCCCTGACCACGGCTGAAGGGATGGAAATGGATGATCTTAAGGAAAGGATGATCCTTTCCAATCCATGCTACGATTTTATGATTCTAAGTAATACTTAACATGTATTTTGTGAAGGTTCATTTGCAATCAAATTGCAAAGGCTCTCTGGAGCTTACCATTTAAGATCTAAAATGACTGCTCATCTTGCATCAGTAATACTTTTTAAATAACTGAAGGCATTAGAAAACTTGAAGGAATACACTTCGGCGCTTGACTTTCTTATACTGCATATACAGCCAAACTGTTCCTTTTACAAGTGGCACAAAAGATGGAATTACTCCAAAGCAGATATTCTGGCATAACTGGATTTTTTCTTCTTTTACGGCAAAGCTATAAAGAGCTTGCAAATGCCATAAATTCCAGCAGTGATATTTATGTCCAATCATGCATCTGCTATTAACTTCGAGTTCATATTTTCTGACATACATTTCACTTTTAAAAGCATTTAATTGGACCCAAATTTCATCTACCAATTTCCAGGTATATTTCCTTTTTAACCAGATCTTTCCATCTCATCTTTGGCCACGACTTTCAGAAAAGATGTGATTCACAGCTTTGCACCTCCAATACAATTTTCTTATACATTCATGTATTTAGAAAAATCTTAGAAAAAATATTCTTGTGCTTATAAGTCATTATGGTCTGTCCTGTTTGGCCAGTATTTTAAATGCATTACAGGTAAAGATGATTTATAATTGCACTCGTAAACAACCAGGGCCAGCACAGTACAAGAAACAAGACTGCAAGCATGACTGCTGGTGTCTCTGCTCCTCAACAATGGCCTCAAAGTTAGACTGATGGCTCTCTGGGCTTTTTGCCAACACCACACACCAATTTAAAATAGAAAGGAGGGAAATAAGCAACCTGGGGTCTAAAATTTCATTCTGACCTTATGTGTAAGCTCTACAGGAGGCCTGGGCAAAGCAGAATGTTAATCTACCATATAAGGGAGGCACAGGGCAACCAGGGGGGGAAAAATACATTTTGGTATTTCGAAACCATCAATCTTGAAAACTAATCAAATCTTCATGTATATACATTATGTTATTTTCAGAAAATACTGTTTAATGTGAATTTTAGTTATATGTCCACAGCCCACTTTCTTTCAGCATGACTTAAACTATGGATTTTTCTGGCTTCAACTCACTTTATTCAAACCATGAACATTTAAGTTTCATAAATTTGCAGGTTTATGGATCTCATTAGCTATGAAATATGGATCCTATATCAGAAAGTAGATTTGAAAGCGAGGATGAAGAGAACTTTTCAGCAGAACAGGCTCTATTCACATTTTCTCTCATATTTCACAGTGGAAGTTTAGTTTTCTTTTGCTAAAACACATTTACTAATGGACTCCTTTGTAGGAACAGAATAATTTTTTTTATCAAATCAATGTTCTTCACAGAACTGTCTACAAGGAGTAAACATTTTTTCCTACATTTAAAATAATGCAGTGTTACGTCCGAAACTGCAAATGAGTAAGCATATACTGAAAATTTTGCAGATGCTTACTATGTTTAACATAACTGCCATGAAAGCTCAGTTATTAAGTTCTAGGGATCAAGTTTAACTTCTCAGTGAAGAATAACAAGTATGGTAAACAGACTAAACTATTCCTCTATTTTTCTACTATAGAACTAATATACTAATCAGATATGTGTTAGTGTAATTAACTGCACTTGGATCCTTCAATTTTAAACACAAATACATAGAAAATTAAGCTGTTAAATATCTACTGGTACCATATTTACTAACTATTAAAATAATTTAACAGCATAACTCAATTTTATAAAACTACCAAATAAAGATAGTAATAAGTAAAACCAGTTTAAGCTATTCTGGGACGGAATCATGAAAATGAGATGCTTGAATTACAGTGCTCAGAAAGCTTGCTTTACTGACCATTATTTTTAGAATATTTATAGAAATTATTCTATTAGCTTAATCTCTGGCCTTTCCAAAACAAAATTCAAAGGACATTATCAACTTCATCTACACAACACATTTCAGAAGCACAGAAACAAGAAATAAACCACTTTTTACTCCTCCTGTGAAGTGAGATTAACCTCATATGAATCCTCAATTTGATCCAGGTGCTACCACAAAATTTTAAGTGACATATATAAAGAAGTATTTTTATGACAATTAATACAACGTAACATCTTCTTTTAATATAGCTTGACAAGCCAGAGATACACAACCAACTGAGAAACAGCAACTATTCTCCTCTGGGACATCCAGGTCACCAAAACACAGAAAGGGAGGTTAATCTGGAAGCAATGGGGGAATGTTCTGAAAGTGTTAACCCCTATTCACAATCTGGGAAAGTTACAAAATTTTGTGAACAGCTTTGAATTAGCAGAATGGCTGCTGATAAGCGGTACACATGGATTAATATTATGTGTTCAGATACAACACTCAGATTTATAATTTCATAGAACTACAACGCAAATGAATCATGGAAAGAGATCTAATTCAAACAGAATAAACTTCCAAGCACTTCAAACATTTACAAAATAGTACCTGTGAGTGCACTTATAAACAAATTGCTTCAACACTTCCTGCTTATTCTTGCCTTCCTTATGCCTTTACTGAATGACTATCACAACAGACTTGATAAAATGATGATATACTCAACGTTAAGTGCAACACTGTGCAATAATGTCTTCAACAGAAATAAGTCCTACGTTTTTGCTGTTTTCCATATTGCCTTCAACTCATTGTTTCTTTTTTGTTACACAGACCTAATACTTGATCACCTGCAGAAAAAATCTGTGATAAATTCTGAAAAATTCTTAGGAGACTGGACTTTGTCTGTTATAATGCCTCAAATAACGCAATGGGAATCAGACTGGTTTTGTTATTTTGGTCCCTGTCCCCTAGAAATGAATGGATAGCAATGGGAGTGGTTGGGTTACCAACCACAATCAACAAAAATCAACAAAAAGTACAATCAACAAAAAGTACTTTTACAACTCTTAACATGCACTCTTCAAAGGAATAGAGAACTTACTGGAAAGCTGAGGAAGATTTTCAGAGTGAAAATGTGTTAAGGTTCCAACCATTTCTAACCCTTTCCCCCTTACTTTTAAGTAAGCCTACAACTCAAACAGCCACTGACATGTGCAGTCTGTGCTGTAAGCTGCTAATACTTTGAATACAATTGAAAATACTCTTGTATAATTAGATATGCAACAACAACTATTTAGATGTTTCTACTGCAATAACCAACTAGGAACCTGCTTTTCCACATATGGATTCAAGACAGAAAACGAAAAAAAGAACCACATTGCACAGAGTATATAAAAATATTAAAAAGCACTCCTGAAAAATTATGGAATAGTGTGATACAAAACATATTCACTACATTAGGCCACATTAGGTAACGGCATTTTTTTTTGCTTTAGTTTCTATTATGTTTATGTTCTCCCACAAGTAGTAGTACTAAACCTTATGTGAGATAGTGATTGTGATACAAATTATGTCCCAAAACACTATCCTTGAGAAAAAAGAATGAAGCAATGTTGCACGACAGGATTCACCGTTACAAATTTTCCATCAGCTGGAAGTCTGGAAGCCAAGTCAGGAAGAAATCTGAGAGGACTGCAATCACCAGACAATGTCATTTGTATTTTACTTTTTTATTCTGATTAACAAATGTAAATATTCATATGAACTGTAGCACATTAAAAGCCTATATATTTACCACGATACTCAGTTCTTGTATCTGAAAAAAACTTAGTGTAGAAGAATTTTCCCCCCAAATATTTATCGCACAGTTACCATTAACATTTTATGCTATTCAATTAATCCAATCCGTACCTGCAAACTTGCCAGTTCGGCAGCTGACTTCCCTTTGAGGCAGAGAATGAGTGCCACAAATGCATTTAAGTCCTCCATAGAGAGGCTACTGACCTAAAACAGATGAAAAAATAACACATTATCTGAAAGCTCTGAAGAGGAACTTTCTGAAAATCAACTCTTCTTGCTCAAGCACATCAAACATAAATCAACAACCTCACGAAATTATGACCACCATGAATACATCATCTAAGAAGACACTTAAACGGAACAAAATACTTTCACAACTTGAATGAAGCACATACCCCAATACCTGTGTAAATTGTGTACACATGGATTTCCACACAGCAAACAAAATGCCCACCCTTCATGTATTCCCTTCTCTTCCCTTGGAGTTTCTTAATTACAAGAAATTTCTTCATCTCCATAACACTAAGCATAGTAAAAACCTGAGAATTAAAAAAAAATATAAATTTCTTTATAATCAAGACCCAGAATGAAAACCACCTCAGTGAGCCACAGGCGTGACCACCCTTAGGAATTTTTTCAAAGGTTTACATGGTTATCTGTTGGAACCTTTAAAATAATCTAAAATATTTTACTTTAAGCTAAATCTTAAAATGTAACAAATCATATTTGGATTCGTTTAAGGTTTTAGGCTGCATACTTGAGCTGGAAGAAGTCAAAACTATAAGAAAACTAAACCTAAAATGTTCAAGGGGAAAAACGTGAGGAAAAATCCTAAATTTGCATTAACAGTTCGCTCCAATACTTCTATAAGAAAAAGGAGAATGGAGGCATTTACTGTTGTGAAAAAGTAGTCTGAGATTCTACAGGGGCACATTAACTCAGGAGAAAGACAATGCCTCTAGACCAGCTGGGCTGATTCCCTGACATTACCAGTCCGTTTCTGATCATTTGCTTCCTCTGTCAAGAACACTATAGATAATACATGTGCACCAGGACCAAAGATCTGTTACAAATGTTGAGGCTATAAAGAGGTCTCTAAGTGAGATCCATAAAGCATTACAATTCTTTTATCAGCTGGAACTTGAGAGAAGGTTTCTGTTGCAAAGTGCAGAAATGTGCATTGTAGGCTTACGGTAGTTAAAAGGTTGCCTACAGCTCTGCACTTACTTTATTTGTGGGGAATGCTGTGTACATCCCATTTCAAACTGTTAAAGAGTTTCTATCGAGGCTATTAAAAACCAAAAAGTGACAGAAAAAAAATTATGTAGATAAAAAAAATTATGTAATCAGTAGGAAAAGAAAAAAAAAATCCCAACAAGAAACCCCAAACCAAACAACAACAAAACAAACAAGAAAGCCCCAAACAATAAGCAGACATCTAGAATCACTTTATTTAGTAAGAGCAACCCATTCTTTCCTGCTCAAGATAAAAATTATTCAACCATTACTGAGAATTCGTTTTTAAATCATACCTTGCTGCTTGTTCTACTGTAAAATACTTTCCTTTCTACAATGCTGTTAAAATTTGCATCAAGCACACGAATCTGAGGGGTATCAGAAAAAACTTCAAGCATTCTAAATGCTTCTTGGTATTCATTAACTCCACCAGGCTGCTAAGATCTGATAATGGCCCTACTTTACCCTGTATTTTAAGCCAGATGTCACCTTTGTGTAGATGGCAACAAGAGAGGTTTACTAAACCTGTACATTCTATGCATTGCAATAAAAGAAAGAGTGACTTTCCTCTACAAAACAGCCCTTAATACTTGTACAATTGTGTCCTAAGAAAAATAAGTCCAAGACTGCTTGCAAGTACAACAGCAAGAAAATGCCCCTAACAGAGCAGATAGACCAAAGACTTACAAATACCAAAACACTTCTTTTGAGAAATATTTTATTCAGTCACCAAGGTTGGTGGGTTATCGTAGTTCCAGTGTCAGATTTCTTCCACAACTGCAAGAGCTTGAAGGAGAATTTCCCCTTTCTTTGCAGGCTCCACATTTTGGTATTCAAATGAACGAATTTCAACAACTTTAAAGACAGACCTATTATTTTGTAATTTTTTCACCATTTCTGTTCTTAATTTGGAGGACATTTGAAAAGAACCCTCATGGAAAAGATTACTCTTCAAACTGACACTTTCTTTACATTGCTAAGATTTGTTTATTTCACATTTTTTCTTGTTTGGAAAAAACTTGCATCTTAAGTTTTCATTAAATACTTGCACATGAATTTTGAGGAAGCCAGATGGGTAGGTCAGTATGCTGGCTCCTCCAAAACTTACACTAGATGATAAGTAATGACAGTTTTAAGAAGTATACCTCTCTCTTACATGAGCTGAAAGAAATGATGTTAGCCTGCTTCAAGACAACCTTCAGTTGCTCATCTTAAATCACCTTTGAGGTAAAAATCTGTCTTCCTTCTCTAATATAAATGTAAGACTAAAGTGATAAGTAAAGACAAGAATTAGGCCACAGTTAGACAAGCACTGTTTTCTTAGCTACAAAACAAATGGAAGCAGTATGGCTAGCTTGAAACGTGGATGCTGGCACTCTTGCTCTCACGTTTTCCTCTCAAACACCCAAGAAAACAAATGGACTACTAAGCAACACATAAAACAACTCCTAAGTGAGAAGCAATTTAATCAAAATCAGTTCCCTAGTCTGGTTCACAAGGCAGATTGTATCAGTGAAATTCAGAGGGCAGAAGAGACTCAGGAAAATGGAACAGGTGTTGAGAAACTGGCAATGCCATGAAAAATCTCCCATGAAACTAAGTCCATTGCATGTCCTCTGCTATTGCTATTGCTAACTCTTCTGCTATTATTCTTCCTGAAAACATCATCTGCAAAACTGTTTTCATCTTTGCTTTTAGCATTCACCATTGAAATAGTAAGTTCCGAAAACCAAATCCCTAACAAGCTGGGGTTTTTTTCCACTTTATTAATTTTGCTGTGATAAAGGCCCAGTAAATCCATATTTCTGTAGGTATTCTAATCTGTTATTCTTCTTCTTAATCCCACTAAAGAAACCCCTCCAAAATAATTTAGCAATCATACTATGAGAGGTTATACAGAATATCACAATAAATAAATTAAAGAGTGAAAATAGGTAAATGAAACTATGGTTTCATATTCAAATACAAAAACCACTTAAGAGTAATTTAAAAGCTTAAATATGATACATATCTTGCTCAATTGAAACCACAAGCCATGAAATTATGTTTAATAATTTTTTTCTTTAAAAAACTTTCCATTTATATTCTGCTATACAGAAAATAATAATTAAAAAAGAGCTATATAGATAACTTGTATAGTTCCTGTACATACTTCCCCAATGTGTTGTCTGAGTTTGAGCAAACTTGTAAAAAGGAAAAAGAAAGGAAAAGGCAGGGAAAACTTGTTGTCATGCAACATATACCAGTATAAATCTGTTACTGGAGGGAAGCAAAGTCTGAGAGAAAAACAAACCAAAAGACAAAATGCAGTGCAGTGTAAGGAAAAGTACAACAGACCTTATCAGATTAGATAAAGGCATTATAATTTTCTCATCCTCAAAGAGGAAAATCTTCTTGTGAGATCAACACTTGGAAGGTGGCAAGTACAGACAATATATTAAATACCTAAGAGAAATGTAAATAATGAAGCAATATTTTATTTCACCTAGTGTTCCTTTATGTTAGAATTAAGGTAGTCTGCAGGCTGGCAAATGCTTGGTATTATAGCAGAACTGCTACCTAATGATCCCCTATTACTCAGAATTTAATGAGAAGAGCCATATCTTCAATTCTGGCCTGAAACTGAGTAGATTGGCAAGATGGTGTGAAAAAGTAGTGACAGCTGACTAAATATTTATATAGTCTGTTGGCACAGACTGCATAGTCACCTGAGGGAATGTCTTCTTTGGATGACACAAAGGAAACATAAAAAGAGAAGCTTTAATTTGCAAATAGGACCACAAACACAGGGGAAATCCCTCAGTTTATACTCTCTCTGTTAAACTGCCCAAGGGGCTTTGTCACGGGCATGTGGAAGTTACGATTAGCTACTAAAAAACACAAGTGTTTCTTGAACAGGATGACACATGTTAAATGAAGTAATTAAAAATACTGTAATGCAGTATTATTATACTTGAGCATCTATGCCTATGGTAAAGATTAAGAGAAAAATCCAGCACAGACTAGCAAGAAGCAATTCATTAGTCAATCACATCTATCAGGGATGACAGCTGAAGAAAAAGCAACTGTCCCAGTTACCTGCATCATAAGATAGACCAGCAAGCAACAGAATGCTGCAACAGGTGCTTCTAGACCTTGGAGATATTCCATCCCATCATGAAGGTGAAAGCATGCCAGAAATGTACTATATCGCTGCTTTTCCACGTCATGTCCTTTGGCAAACCACAGTGTTTTCAAATTAGGTGTTCCACCTACAAAAGAAATCCATTATTCTATCTTGGCAGCAACAAGATAAAACATGCCTACCTCATTACAATCTGAAAGGAAACAACTGATCTGCTCTTGGCACTTGCAGCGACAGAATTGGAAATGAAATGTATTTGACAAAACTTGGCGTTTGTGGAGACAAGAAAAAAAAGGCCTTTAATTTAAACAAGTTGTATTGAATACGGGCATGTTTAAGCAGAGTGGGCTGAATTCAATTGTTACAAAGATGCAGACGACTTTGAGACAGCAGGCAAAATGTCTGCCTACAAGTGTGTCCTTTCCCTAGGGGGTTCACAGCATTAAATAAGGTTAGGTTCATCATAAAACAGTGATTCAGCAAAAAATGACCATACGTTTCTTCTCTTTCTCTCTCAGGGGTCCTTGAAGGATCCTCACACTGCTTCCCTAATAATCACCTGTTTTAATGAACAACTAACTGGTCACCTACAGCATTTGCTGGCAAACACATTCTACACAAAACAATGTGCTTGTATGGCTCCTCTGCAGTAGGTTCCAGTTTGGGAACAGAAAACAAGGCTCTCTGGTATTTTGCACTCCCTAGGCTACTGCATAAAACACTGTTGCGAACACTCAGAATTGCCATCAGTTATGTACAACATATCTTCCAGACTTCCTATAGCATCATTCACAGTGGTCTCTAAATCCTTAATGTTTATCCCATGTTGCCAACCCCATCTTGTGAACTAATGCAAAATTTGCTCCCCATTTAAATTACATTTAATCCGTTATGAAAATAAACACTAATGCACGTGAAATAACAGAACAGCTATTTATGCCTAAGAATCCCAATTAAAGACAGAATCCTCCCATAAAATACTGCTGCTTCTGTAGTTAAATAAAATGAGGTGTGAATTTTAAATGTGGACTAATTAAGCTACATTTGGTAACACCTTTTCCTTTTTTGTGTGACAGGCAGCAGCTGTAGCCCAGTTAGGAACACTTGGTGATAATAAATGGTTAAAGTGACAAGGTGCTGAAATCTACATAGACAATGTTTATTTGGCCAAGAAAGCCCATTAACCAAATGGTACTAATTCTTTGGAGGGCGGGGGAAACTAGAAGATAGGATTTTCTTTTTTCCTCCCCGTGATGGATGTTTCCTTTACTATTTTTAAGTCTAATTCTCCCATCAAAAGTTTTAACCATGTAAAAAACCACCATCATACAATTGTAAGAGATTCAAACCTTCTTTTATAGGGAGATATATATATTATGAAAAAATATGAGTTGCTTGATTTTAGTTAGAAATACAGGTTAGTGATGACATAAATATTGGCAGTGAGTGGTCCAGTACAGACAGCACAGTAAGACTCAGATTACTGGTTTTGATACTGGTAATTGCTACTTTAATAAAAGAAAAGCAGAGACTGATTCCCAAGAAGAAAAGTAAACATAACACGCATAAAAGCAGAGGAAAGCCAACTTTTCCTATCAAGGCTAAGCAACTTTAATGTGTGAAACAATTTTTATATATGTAAACTCGTATAGTTGTGATGGTTTCCGCTTTCTAGAAGCTTCCCAATCAGCTGCATATGAAAAGATATGCCAAGAACCAGTTAAAGGAAAGTACTTTTTCCATCTGTACAGCTGTTTCTTTTAAATGACTTGCATCCAGGGGTATACCTAATAATAGACCTCTTTTCAGAATAAAACCATGAACCACATCAATAATCAACATTACATATCTCTTTAGAGAGAGCTCAACAAAAAATTCAAGACATCTCTTCTATAAACAGTTTCTTACTGTTTCAGAAACAACATCTACTTGCTCCTGGGAAAAAGAGGTACTGTTGAATTATGAGTTATTTACTCTGGGAAAGAAGACTTAACACAATCTTCTCTTGGAATGTATCAACCAAAAGTATTTTTCTGAAAGGATTTCTTCTACAAGTAATTAAATTTCATGTAATAACTAAGATCAATCCATTATATTAACCCTTAAATGAAAGATAAGTAAAACAAAGAAACAATTATGCTGTTAAATGACTCTCCCATTATGTGTTGAAGTTAACAAGAGACCTAAGATTCCTGTACAGCAGTCCTCCAAAACTGTTCACTGCTTTAGTTCCCTCATTATACACTTTACAGCAATTAGAAAATTGCTGAGAGAAATTTACTTTACTAAATTAACCTAAAAAACCCCCCAAACTAAGCACCAAAAGGGAAACAGAATTAAACATACTAGATATTTATAATTGATACACCTTTACTGTAAAGATCAATCATGAGAAAATTATCATTTCTACTGGGGTTGTAGAAACCAAACGTTCCTATGAATTACAGAGAGAACCTCAAACACTGCATATGCTTATGGTCATTCTCAACATGCATAAAACTTAAAACTGTATTCAGTACTATGTAAAATGTATTCCTTGGGAACCCCAAGAAGAGCAGCATCACAAAAACCTCCATTGGAAATCAAGAGATATTACATGCCTAAATACAAAAACGGATAACCAGAAAGTTAAAAGAAAAAAACATTATTTTTTTTCCCCATTTTCCTTTTTACTCACACATTTAGAGACACTGTCATATAGAAAGCATCATGATAACATGAGCACTTCAAGGGAATACATAAATGTTTCATTTGTTTGAGTCTCAATTACTGATTTATGAATATGCAATGCATGCAAAAGTTGTGGAATGCATTAATACTAGGATATTATTGAACTCAAGGCTTATACAAAGGGGATCCTCACATATATACCAACTTATGTCATCATTGTGTACATAGATACAAAAGTATAATATCAACTATTCATGTGTAGTTAAATTAATGACTATTGAAATTCCATTTTATAACACCAGAAACAGAACTTTTACATTTCATTGCTTTACAAGCTCATGTAAATACTGAGCAATAGAAATAAGTTTATAAAAATGTACTTGCTAGGAACACTGAACCTTGTTAACAATTGTGGCTAGTTTTAAAGATGCCATAAACTCAAACGCCAATTAAATCTGACCTTTAAAGAAGTATTTCAGAAACTGCATTTTGAACATAAGCATATTCATGACATATTCCTGTAAGACGCAATGATTAAAATAGTGAATGTACATCCAAAGCCCTGTGGTATGAAGCTACAATATCCTACACAATTCCAGTAAATACTTTACTTTAAAACTTTTTCTGTTCCATATAAACTGCACATGTAACAAATAGATCTGCTATGTTCACAACATATGGATGTTGAACAGTATTTTCTTGGCTCACAGGCCTTCTAACAAATTTCACTTCTCAGAGACATTTTTATCATTTAAGTGCTGCTCTGTCGATGTGTGGGAAGCATAACGATCACATTCATTCAACTGAAAACATACATTCTGGAAGAGAAGAACAGAGAGAAGGGAAGCAAGCACAGATGCCAATTCAGAAGACTGTCTCTCCAGAAAAATATATATACATAATACACACTGTAGTTTAAATATATTTTATTATCTTACTGCCTTTAGGATTCGGTATTTCATTTTTAAGAAAAGCTAACATTGAACCTATTGCCCACAAGCTTTTCAGATGAAAGACAGTTCTGCTGGTTTATACACGCACACACAAATCAGTGCGAATTCTACTTTTGGGGGGTGGGGTTTACAACGATGCAACATATAAGATAGTTATGGCTATGTGTATTGCAGTTTGAAGTTCAGATCAGATATTCTTTCTTCAGACATTTAAATCTAAATCAAATTGAATAGTCAGGATTTCCCATGTATTCTCAACACATTTGTGAAGTAGTTGCAATGATGAGGTTATATTTTCCCCAAAAGATAAAGCAGAGCCTTCCCAGATTAATTGCACCTGTGACTTTTTAAATAGTTTCTGGTAAGGTTTTTCCTCTTTTTGAGTAACCTGATCTTGATTGACAGCTTTGAACTCTAACTTCCTATAACAACTTCTTTAAATTTAGCTCTTAATATGATCCCTGTCTGAAAAATCTGATGCACTGTTGAGAACCTTATTTGGTGAACTAGAAAGTCCTGCTGTGGAAAATAAAAGATGCATGAGTGAATGTAAGGCATACTAATATGGACTGTAAAAATTTTAGAAAAATATTTGTGCACTGAAGGAACGACAACAGAGCACTAAAAATAAACACTTACAAGTCCTCCTCCCCATTTTTAATAGTCTGCTTGAACAGCCTTTCATTACAGAGTAAGTAAAGATTGTGGCTGAGAAGATGCTGTTTTTATAAACTCTTCTTATGTGGTTCCTATAAACAAACACACAGAGTGATTTTAAATCCTGTTTATTGTCAACATGAGGGTGGGTTCTATGTGTAGCATGTTTGCAAAGCAGTAGAACGAAAGTACATAAGACTAAATGCATTCCTCTCCAGCAAGGGAGGAAGGTACTATACTATCTGCGAAGGAAATATTCACAACAAATAAAATATATTTGCCATGTAAACTGAAATGCAGCTACTTAGGCATGTGTATACTATGTTGGGTTTTGTTTGCTTGTTTTACAAATGCATGTTACCAGACCACTGTATGTTGAAATAACATAGTTGAAAAGCACAGACCAATCAGTTTTTACCCTCCATATTCATATCCACTTGGAAAATTTCACAGCAATTTCATGCTATCATCAAGTCAATTAGATAATCACTCTCTTCATATTGTATCAGGGTGCTGGACAGTGAAACTACTGTATATCAAATGAAATCTTGTTTGTACTTGGTCTATATAACTCACTTCTTTCCAGTTTCTTTCAAAAGGATTTTGAAAAGGCCGATATCTAAAGATCAACTGGTTTTCCTTAAGCCTTGAATTTGAAGACTCTTATTAAATATACAAGTTTCAAATACAAAGATAAACATACAATCTTTGAGTACCTTAAAAAAAAATTTACTATAATTCTAGAAAATGAAAACCAAGTAGGTTCTAAAGCAATTCCTAACAAAAAAAAAACCAACCAACCACAAAAAAAAAAACAAAAACACCACACCAAAAGACAACCCCCTGCCCCCAAAAAAAACCCCAACAAACCCACCTTCTTTTAAACCTGGATTTAGACTAGATCAGAACAAGAAATGCTACAGAAAGATCTGGATACTGAAGAAAGAAGCATTGGTAATTACTCTCAAAAAGTTGATAGTTTTTTCTTAACAAGATATCAATGGTACTGTGTATCAATGGAATTAATTAAATTTATATGAAAGACTAAAAACCTCTGAGCTCCTGATCCACATAAAAGCAGATGACCAGAAAGACAGCAAGTACCGCAACAGTAGAGGTAGAGGTGTTATGACTACAACAGCATGATCAAATGAACAATTAGGACAATTTTCTTTCTGAAATAACAAAATTGATACAGTATTGTTTACTTCCTGTCCTAAATTTGCATTGCATGATACAATTTAGTGACATATACAGTGCCCAATCTTTTCACTAAAGTGTATGATACTTTCTTGTAAACGTAACACATTCCATTAATTTCATTAAGAGTGTTCATGCGTCCTTTACCAAAGGAAAGAAGATAAAAGACACACAAAACACTTGATGCTTAAGACAGTAGAAACAGCTTCTTCAGCAGCCTAGTTATATTTTTACTGAAAGCTGGATTCTCTTTCTGGGTTGTCACAGGTGATCTAAAAATTACCCTTTTTATCTTCTCTACCAGTCTTGTTAACGCATTTGCTCAAGCAGCTTAATAGAAGAATTTTCATATGGCCCCACATACCACTTATCCCAGTGTCAAAGCAGTATTTAGAACCTCTAAGAAATTGTTTGCATTTTAGAACTGATGTTCGAATTAGCACTGGATTTGACAGGACACAGTAATAACATGTAGGTCAAAGCTGAATCCTGTTACAATTACACAGGGTAATTAAAAGCAATTACAGGCAGGCAGCATTTCTACTTTAGCTCCTTGTTCCCCACAGATGTTTTGGATTCCGTATCAAACATGTGATGATGGATTGCCTAACCTTACTGTAGTGATGGCATTATTTCAGTTCAGATTTAAACACATTTTATTCTACCTGGAATAGGTTGTACAGGCTGTATGAGCTCTGGCTGTTTGAGAGGATTTCCAAAATAGACAAACCACTCTTTCACGAAAGAATAGGCTCCACCTAAAAAAGACAGAATTGGATCAGTAAGTCAAATGCAAGTATTGACACTAGTGTAAAAGTCAGAAGCAGTAGTGATAAGGATTCTAAAGTAATGGAAGGCATTTGAAATTACTTATTTGCTCAGCTTCTTAAAAACAAAAAAAAATAGGTTTAGCATCTTTGCAATAAATGATCAGAACAAATGAAGAAACTTTGAATTATGCACTATAGACATGAGTTTGCAGTTGGGAACTGTAGCTATAAATGTAAGTACTAGTCTGTGGAAAACATTCTAAAACGGCTTACAGCCAGCTTTTGGCCTACCCATTTCAAGGCGGTTCAGGAAGCTATGGAGGCATCTGAAATAGCTTAGGGACCCACGTGAGCTGTCTCAGTCTCTCAGGGCTGTCACACTGCCACATATTGCAGTCAGTCCTTAATACGATTCTCCTCCCAACTTGCCCTGATGTTTCCTGTGTCAGGGTTTAAGACAAAATCTTTATAAGGCCTTGATGGCTATTTGAAAGCTGACAGCAATGGAGTCATCCCACCGTCAGATGCAGAGCTTTTACAGCCCATTGTTCCAGACCTTTTATCTAGTATAAAGGGATTGTTTATGCATAATAGATCAAGTGGTTTCCTACCCCCTAACGTCAACTCTACCCCGCCCTCCAATAAAGAGCAGGGAGCCTCTTAAATTAAAAATTTCACTGCTTGAGTTGTGCATCTAACTACTTGATGCTTAGGGAAGAAAAAAATAAAAAAGGAAAGAAAATATCCTCAGAAAAAAATAAAACATTTAAGAATTTTTGAAATGCAGCCTACCTAATTTCCAGTAGTCAGCTCATAATCATTCCAATGCAAGAAACCCTTGAAAAAACTCTAGAATAATTATCATTGTTATGAATGGTGCTTCTGCATTATGTACAGATATTGCTTATAGTAACCTTGTTACAGTGCCCTAAATTTCCATTCTCTGTAGTCTGGTAAACAGTATGAAGCAGACAGATTTAGCTAGGCCTGGGCACTTGGAATAGTGTTTTCAAATCTTTTCCAGGCAAATCTTAAAGCTTTCCCACCCTTGTCACTTTCCAGATTCACAGTTGTATCCAATTCCTTCTAGTTCTCGCCCAGTGCTGAGGCCACTCTTTACAATTTCTGCCTTTTATCATCAATTCCAATCACCCTGCACTTTATTGCACAACTATTTCTGATGCCACATTATGAACCCTAATGAAAAACTTCACCTAGCTTAAAATAAACCAAAGCTCTCCAACACTCTCCTTCCTTTCCCTCCACCATCCAAAAAGTTCAGTCACATTAATTTCCTGATCTCATTCATAGCTCAACACTGCAAATGACTGTTGGCATGAATGAATGAGCAGAAATGCCTCAGACGAAGTTCTAGTGTCAGGGGTAAAAAAGGCAGGGGAGAAGAACATAACAACAGGGATAAAAGAGGCAGGGGAGAAGAACACAACAAAATCTGGCTTACAGCCCTGCTTGTTCTTTCTTCCCCATTGACCTGCAGCACAAACTCCCAATAAAGGTGAGGGGCCGAAGAACCAACTGCTGGACTCTAAGGGACAGCATTACACCTGGCTTCCCATGCTTCACTGTTCAAAAACTGATGACATTAAGAATAAAATGAAAAACGCTTGCACTGAGGGGAAAAAAAAAAAAAGCCTTCAATAGCACATTTCAGTAGCTGAATAGTCTCACATCTTGAATATAAATCATTGCCTATGATAATGCTATTTCATTTAAAAAAAACCAACAAAACCTCCAATTTAATACCCTGAAGTCACTTTCAGAAACATTTTGATATTTTAGCATTCTGGTTTAAGATTTATTATGTAAATTATTCTGCTTTATTCAATCTATTCAGCTCACTCAGCCTCTCAAATTTTAGCCTGGCTTCTTACAGAAGCAAACCTAATACAATTAGGACATCTGTCTTATAATTAATTCATGGATTCACTGCTCTGTTTCAACTAAGCCTGACAGAGGAGAAGAGATTTCAAATGTATCAAAATCCTAAACATGTTGTGAAACTCGTGTCTCAGCTGACAGAGATCATGTTAGAACACCAGCTGAAAGATAGGAAAGTCAAGTCACCTGTTGTATCTAAATGCACTGGATGTATGGCAAATCAATATACAAGTAGTTATAGAGCTGAGTAAAAAGGTAGATGGCATCAGGGGAGAGCAGAAGGCAATAGGGAACATACTTAGGAACACCATGTATTGCTGGAGGAGTTTGTCAAAGACATGGGGAGAAGTTAAGAAGATGCTAGGAAGAACATGGAAATACAAAAGCTTTGATGAGGGGAAGCTGGCTCAGAGAGCCACTCTTTATAAGTTCCACAACTCAGAACAACTTATCAAAATGTCTCTCAATTCCAAATTCCTATAACTATTTTTATACCACCATTGAGCTCAAGCACAATACAGAAGTCAGTAGGAAACCTCTAGTTTTGCTCTTTTAATGCATGTGAATATTGGCACAGGACATAACACCCCATCAGCAGAGTGCTTTTCACTATTATAGTCCATTAGTAACAAAAGCACATTACTGTTCATGTAAGTAGTCAAATAAATATAGCAGAAAGCAAGGTCCTGCAAACTGACAGCACATTAACATACCAAGAACAAAACACAGACATGACTACTAAATGCCAACCCTCCCTGCATGGAAATATCTCTGGGGGAAAAACAAACAAACACCCCCCCTCCCCCCCCCCCCAATTTTTCAAACTTATTTTCCCACAATGACCATACAGAGTCATCACCAGTGAAATTCAAAAACCAGCAGTTCCTTTCTTTAAATAGATTCTAAACTACCTGTGGAAGTTGCAAATTTCAACCATGTGAAAAAAACCAGACACAAGAAGTTGGAAACACTGTTACATGCGCTCCTCTACACGGTGGTTACTGGCAAAAATTCTGCTTAATGGACTGGTTTTGACAGTGTCCAAGTGAGGATCAGTCTGGCCTGCTAATGTTACAACTGGGAGTGATAACAGAACTTCCAGGAGCTGGCCATGAGAAGCCAGTGGCCGCATGAGGGGCATTACATAACCCCCTTATTGGCACCAGTCACGGAGGTGCAGGTACTTCTTCCATGGACCGCGGTAGTGCCTAAACCTGCTGGCTTTCTTCTGAATTCCTCGCACACAAAACAGCAAACCTGGCTGGACTATCAAGGTGCATTATTTACTGTTTTTTCCCCTCCTTCCTGAACTTTTCTAATAGTATTATTTTTCTAGGAAAGATGCTAAAAGTTGACAATTTATATATCACTATATGCAATATTTCACATAAGGATCAGAAATCGTTCAATTCATTTTGAAGATACTTTTAAAATACACAGGCAAGAACTACTGTGTTACCAGGATCACCATCAACCCCTTATTTATTTTTGTAGGATCAAAAATAAAGCTCTGAATGTAACAACATTTCCACGAGTAAAGGTACACACAAGCTTACCATATAGCAAACTATACTAAAGGCATAGTTTCACGAGCAATTCTTTCAGCAGCACTGCTACCTTTTATAGGTGACTTGACACTGATTTGCTCACTCCCACTCCCTGCCAGTCCCCTGGGCTGTTTCACCACAGCTGTTTGTGGCTACACAGAGTCAGATGGGGAAACAGAACCATGTTAGTTACCTGACTGCAAGAAAGGGAGAGAAGAGAGAGAGAAGGGGAACTGTTTTTAGTTCTCAAATTGGGCTACCACACAGCTGCACAAACAGCTGCACTATCACAACTGAGAGGTTGCATAGGGACTGAAATAAGTGTCTGTGCAAAAGAATTAGCTAAACTGGCACTGACAGCAATAGAAATGCGTATCAAGCTATGGCTCCAGGCAAAGTGGTTTGATCTAGATGGGTGATTTCAAAGGATATGACAACAACCATCTCCCGTGGATTTTTGGGTTTCTTAGGCACCGTCAACCTAGACATTCAAAACCAACGGTTTCTTGTTTCAGGACAGAGAGAACAGTTTACAGTACTTTTAACCTGTTCTTACTAAAACTGTAACTGCTGTTTTTACTATCTTTCTTTGCTATCCCTATTCAACAGTATTCAACAGTAAATAAGCAGATTTGCAAACTGCAAGGAAGTCATTTTCCAGCACTGCAATCTTGTAATTGAGGAATCTTAAGGAATAAACAAGAGGATCACTAACACATTTCCACTGCAAACTAGAACACTGTATAGCCAAAGAACACTGAAGCCAAGAGAGCTTCAAATGAGCTACATTAGCAACTCTATCACAATGGCAGCAGACTCCACATGGACTAATTTAATTGGCTGACTCCTTCCAACAAGCTTCTTTTAATGGTAATCCAAAGTATTTTTACATTATACTACAACCTACGTACACTGTAAATTATTTCTTCCCCTCCTACTCCTCATTGAATTACAAAAGTCAACTTAATCTCATCTAAGGGAAACTGGCAAAGCATTCTACTTACTTTAAGAACAAAAATTCCATGTAAGTCCATTAGCAAGCTCATAAATAAAAAAATGATTACATTTACTTATGAAGTCTCACACAGGCTCTGATTAATGACCTACACACTTGACTTAGAAGCAACTATACACTGGAATAGAAAAACAACCCATGAACTCCTAGGAACTGATGTGGTTAAAGCAGTTAGAGGTAAATACACGCACTAAAAATGCAAATTTAATAGGAGTGCCCATGGAGACACACTCTACCTACCTTTTGGGAAGGGTTAAGGATTGAGGGTGCACAAGTATGATTTACTTTAGAAAATTAACTCTGGAATTTGAAGCAAACTGAGAATAAACAATACATGTTAACTGTGCTTTTATTCTAAAATCACTTTCATAAAAGAAGACCTCTTTCCCATTCAAATTTCTTTTCAACAGGATTATAAATTAATGTTTCAGTATTTCAATTCTAATCTTCTTTATCTGAGTACTACAAACACTGTGACATAAATGCAAATCTGCCTACTACCCTGCTGTCTCACAGCAACAATTGTTAATTAGCAGTTTTGGTCTGGATGTGTCTGAAAGCATCAATGAATATCCTACTACTTAGAAGAATAAATAAAACCCAACCAAGTTATAATTATCTACAAAATTTAGAGGCAATAGGCTGAAAAATGAGAAATGACAGATGTGCATGATTACTGCTGAGATTTCTGTTACTATCTTCAAATGCCTATCATAGAATCATAGAATGGTTCGGGTTGGAAGGGACCTTAAAGCTCATTTAATTCCAACCCCCTGTCATGGGCAGGGATACTTCCCACAAGACCAGGTTGCTCAAAGACCCATGCAGCCTGGCCTTGACACTGCCAGGGATGGGACATGCACAACTTCTCTGGGCAACCTGCACCAGTGTCTCACCACTCTCATGGTGAAAAATTTCACCCTAATATCTAATCTAAATCTACTTTCATTCAGATTAAAGCCATTCCCCTTGTCCTATTACTACAGGCCTTTGTACAAAGCTCCTCTCCAGCTCTCTTGTAGGCCTCCTTTAAGTACTGGAAGCTGCTCATGTTGAGCTTCTCATCTATCGAGATTCCTACTATGTAAACTCTGATTCAGTATTTCCTATTGTTTGGGTTTGGGTTTTTTTTTCCTATTATGGAACAACTTCAACCTCTAGCTGCTGAAGCAAGCCAGGTATTTAATTGCAGGCATTTAATTTCTGTGGCTTTCTAAGCACATAGTTTGAAAATTAGGTTTGATGGCAGTGCACTTTCATCAATAAAATGTAAAGTGACTCCCAAGAAGAAACAACATATTGAAAAGAATAAAAGTTCAGTGCATTTTTAATTTTCAATTCACTGCCTAAAAGACACTGTAAAGATAACATTTAACTAATGGGAGTCTTAAGAACATAAAATTTCTTCAAGATGTGAATAAAGGATTCTCTGTCTTAAAGCAGAAGAATGGAAGCACACACATACACACAACTGCTACAAAACTGCTACTTACACCACTGGATAAAGAAATCGTATTTTCTTGTACTTCGATAAAAGAACTAATAATCACTGGCCTGACTACTTGCATTAGTGTTACTACAGTAACTATATTTGACTATCCACTGGTCTTAAAATTGCAGACTTAAAATCAGCAGAAGGTAAGACTCCAACAGTGCATTACTGTTTTGCACAAGTGCAAATAACTCACTAATTCATCAGGAGCTATACTTACCAACATAACATAAGGTTTCATATTCTCTCAAACTTTCAAAATCTTCTAAATATCACTGTTCTGCTCAATCTGTTGCTCATTAACAACGTTCACAGCTTCTCGTTTAACAAGCAAAAAACCCCAATTTAAAAAAAAAAAATCTCCTTAAAAGCACTGAAATTGAACAGCATTTGGAAAACCTGCAATCTCATTGTCACGTTTTCTCTTTATTCCTTAAGAAGTGCATTCAGCTGCCCACAGTTTCTATCCTAAATTCCATGCTGATGTAGCCACTCAAAAAACGAACTCAAGATTTCATATTTCAAAACTGAAAATATGCTTGAATAGTGGTATAAGTAGTTTAATCCTTACCTTTTCCAGATTCCAACAAGATGGAATAAATATGCTGACGAGCACGGCGGTAGATAAGTGCCTGTCCAGGAATCTCTGTATCTAATTCATCTTCCAAAGAGTTGCTGCATACAATCTCTCCCTTGCTCAGGATATTGAAGATCGTGTAATTTTCAGATTGGACATGCTGTTCTTTAGCTAACTGTTCAAAGAAAGAAGGAGGCATGATCTCCAAAATTAAGGAGGATTAAAAACTAACAAAATATATTCACTGTTCAAGGAAACAGTACTTTCTCTAGCAGTGTAAATGGAGTGAACAGCCAGGGTAGGAACAAGTGCTTTTTGAGGTAACACCAGTATAGTATACTTTCAGACATCTACCTTTCTGGGGACAGGAATCCCCAGGAAAACCACCATTGCCTTTCTTAGCCCCCCCCGAATTCTTAAAACTTGGGGGGGGTTCATGACTGTTTTAGAGAGTAATTATTCTTAAAATGAATTCTGAATTCAGACACAGAGAAATGAGCTGCCCTCCTTTAGTCATCTGAAAATATGTTCCCTCTTTAAATAGTGACTGAATGCACAACAAAACCCAAACTTTTATTGCAAGATGAAATATATAAGACAACTCCATTTCTTTCCTGAGCTGACTCTGCATAGTATACATTGTGGTGAAATTGTATACTTACCTTCACCACACTTCTACTTTGCAATAGCTTTTCCCCAAGAAAATAAATACAATCTACTCTAGTGAGGAACACCAGGCCTGCAGGCTATTACTGAAAAGCAGAATTGCAGCATCACCCAGGCTGCATATTAACCATGCACCACATGCAGATACATCTGGCTACAGCAGCTGGCTACAAGCAGCCTCAGTACCAACAGGGACTGCTGGTCTGAAGCAGCACTGGCACAGAAGCAACAATGCTACTCTCAGGCAGCGCAGAATTTCACCCAGGAACACTTGTAAATTGGACTGGCCAAGTGCAGAGCCAGACTTTCTACTTCACGACCTCAGACCAAAACCATGGGAGTGTTCAGACAGCTGATCTGATCCATTTTTTTCCATGGAGTACCACTAAGAAATTCTCCAGGACCTGTGCCATATGGTGAGCAGGCACAGAAGTTTCTCTGCTTTCCATTCCCAGCATCTGTCACCTTATTTGACTTATTTGGGTTGTGCCACCCATACAGCTATGTCACTAGAAATTACCAGATCACTGGCCAGCTCAAAATTCACCATTTCTGCAGAAATCCAGTATCCACAAACCTGGGAACACCAGCAGGTCAAAGCTGCAGTCAATTAATGGGTCATTACTGATCAAAACTAATTCTACTGAAATGCCACACTTTCAGAAGAAATACTCATATAAAATCAATGACAGGTTTCCGTACACAATGCCAATCAACAAAACTTTTTTTTTATAGTAATAAATTAATGGTTGCTCTGGAATAAATACTTCTGCATTCTTACTATATGTAAACAATATAATCCCTCAAATCTACTTTTGTATAAAACAAAACCCAAACAGTTAAGTATTTTTAAGCATCATTTGAATGAAGCATTGAATCATTTTATATAAACCATGAGATGTTTTTATCATCTGAAAATACTAGTTTGCCAATAATCTACACATCTTTAGGTAGTGAAAAAATACAAGCTGATTTCAAAAGAACTGCTGTATTCAATGCTGTATCTTGAAAAATATTTGATTTACACCTACAGTCAGGCAGAAAGTTATATTCTTTTCAGGGAGAAGCAGGAATGTGTCTTCAAAGTTGGAACTGAGCTGTGTATGTCATTTACATGCAAGTCAGATTATGTGCAAGGTAAGCAGAACTACATATGCTTTTCAAAATACATAGCAAAGCACACCCATTACATATACAACATTTAACCACCTGTAACAAAACCAAACAGTAAGTTAACATGCCTACAACTTTGCCTGCAATTTCCCTGGCCCAGGGATTGGCTTAACATAGGAATTATGCAGCAAGTGATGCATTCTTCAATGGAGTTTCTAAACATTATTATTTTATTACAGCAGTAGCTCAGCATGACACTAGAGAACTGTAGCTTTTCAAATGAAAGATCAAGGCTAGAAATAATGACCACTTGTCATAAAGACCACATGGCTCATTTTCTTAAGGAGTAAGGATATTACCACTATTGTCCTAGCCACAATCCAACCTAGATAATTACATTCTGGACAATTTTTCCTTGCACTTCAATTGTAAACAGTATTTTTCAACACTTTATTAAGATGCAGGGTTGTTGCTTGGGTTTGTTTTTTTTTTTAATAACTTCTTTATTTAATGATTTCAGTTGAAAGTGACATGTATTGTGCCTATGTGTGGTTAATAAAAACACCCAAATCTATCTGCAGCTTAGCTGAAATGAGCATTGCATAAGTTACAATGTAGTCTTAAAATATTTTTAGAAACAAATTTGTAAATTTTAAGATTACATTAGAGTAATATGAGGAAACAGAAAAACTAATTTTAAAGAAAATGTTAAACATAACAGACACAAAAACAAGGCACTCTATTTGAAGTCTGGAGGGACCTAACAAAACAGGGAGCAACAGATGACTAATATAGGATCTGAAATACACCAGAGCATCTCTGCCCATATGTGAAGCCATTAGTGAAACTTGCTAGTGCATCTCTGTCCTTCCAGAATTAACAAGCCCCTCCAAGTGCTTTTGGTTCCTTCAGGGACGATAAATCTGAATGATAATTAACCTGATCCAAAAATCACAAAATATAGATTGATAGGAAGTCTCCTCATCTCCTCCACAAGAACAATTTCAACTTCTGCATTCTTAGTAGAGCTCCCTTTGGTATTTTGACTGCATGTACCAGGTACAGCCAAGCAGACCACTAAACAGCTGTAGCTGACTTGTGGATGCTCAAAGAATAACTGTATCATTACTTTGTGCAATACATGGGAAGTATTCTTTACGCTCATCTATAGGCCTATACAGAAGCTGCTCCCCATTATTTGAACTGCTTGATGCTTCAAAAAGGGAGGAACCATCTGCTTTCATGGTGACAGTCCTAACCATGGCTGTACTTAACAGACAATAGATTTTGCTCAAGCAAATTTCAATCAATAGGTTCAGTGTACTCAATACCGACTTCCACTAAATAGTCATGGCATCAAGTGACCATGAAGCTTTAAAAAACAAGGTACCTGAAAGATTTCTTTATCTTGACACATGGCTGTTTCTTGTTGAAGGGAAAACATTTGGCAACTTGTTACTTTGGGAGGAATCCATGGAGACTGCTGCCCAGGTAAAAGATAGGACTCCACTCCTCTGTAAAGCAATGTCTTGTCTGATCCCAGAGGCAGAATGTCTTCTAAGTGTTTCAGGCTGCTGTACGACTGTGGAACTTTTGAGATGTAATTTGCTACAGCAAAAAATATGTTTGTTCTTCTGTTGTAGCTGTTATTCTTACGGGGACTGCTGACTAAACATTTATGCCAAAAGCCTTCCAACAAGTTTTCTGGAACAACATCATTGCCAAGCAAGGAAGCAAAGAGAGGGAGGTGTGTCAAACTAAGACCCAGTGCACGACAAAGATCTTCTCGAGAGTACATAACAGTGACCAGCCTGTCCAAACAGAGCTTCCCAATGGAAAAGTAGGGGCATGTATTATAGATGAGGTAGTCACTATCTTGCCCAAGAATTCCTATGCAGTTATGTTGCAAACCGTATGCAGCCACCTCAAAGTCTGCCTCCTGCAATGTGCATACTGTTTCTTGACCAAGTGACTTCAGGGCAAAACGTGTAAAAGTAGGCAAAGCTGAAGGCATCACAAACATTTCTCTCCCTGGTTGTTTTCTGTGAGTCTTGATAAACTGAAATATTCTGGCTATCTCCTTGTTATTCTGCAACCTCCGTTTGATCCACTCGTCTCTCTTTTTTGATTCTACCACTCCGTCAAAGAAAAATACCAACTTGATACCAGCTGCCATAAAAACTTTAATAAAATCTTCTAAAACGGCAAGGAACTCCCGCCACTGGCCACCACACACCCAGGATTCTGGTGTGTACCAGTATCTAACACAACTCATGGCATCTACTACGATAACAGGTGGAGAATCAGGATGATCGATGCAATGTTTTTGTGCCATTTCTCTCAGATCTACAGTCCTGCATGCATCAGGGCAAACTCTCTCCACAAATCCCTGCAAACCTTTAATGCCCATGGCTGATCTCTGAAACTCGCAGCAGCCTGAAAAAAGAAGAAAAACAATATTCTAAATGCAATACTGAGAAACATAACAGAATTATACAATAAAAAAACCCCAACAAACAAAACATACAACAAAACAAAACACAAGGCAGACAAAAAATAACAACCAAACAGCACAGAAACAGAACTGTGATTTTTCTGCTTTTGCTGATAGTTTGCTTTGTTGTCCTGGCCTTTAAACAGTTTGAAGCAGTTTTCTTCCCATCAACAAACTGGACGTAAGTGCCCATTCACTTTGCCTTTCACTTCTGTTTTTCTGTCACTGAAAACTATAAATATCTAAAGGTTTTCTTAAGTACAACTCAAATTCGGATTAACAGAAAAAATATAGAAATTTAGAAACTGCTAGAAAACCAAGTACAGACATAATTAAAAGCTATATAACATCTTAGCTGAGTGTACAATACAGGAATTAACAGCTTGATTTTTACACTAAACAGTATACAAATGTCTTTAACTGAAGTCAGTGGGAAAATACCAGTAACTTTGGTAATCAGTCTTGTGCCTTGATTATGCAAATGGCTCAGTAACCATCTGAGTTTATAGATAGTAGTCCACTGAATGGCACTAGTCACAATACCTCTACTTCTGCAATGGTTTTAGTAGTATCAGTTCTGCTTCAAATCAGAAATTCACTCCATTGTACCATTCTGTCATTTGAAGACATAATTTTCAAGACCTGTTTAAAGAATTAGATGTTCACCTATATTTTGTGAATCTACAAGTCTGGTTATCATTAATAATAAAATTAATAGGTTAATATATTAAATGGGATTTCTAATAGGCACAGCATTTTGAACCAATCTATTTTAAAAGACACACATGTAAACATTAGCTAGACATTAAACAATTACAAATGGAATAAGTTTATTTTCAGTTTGGGAAATATCAGAAGACTGAAGAAGAAAGTCTCTGAATTCTGTGGTAAAACTTAATAGCATACCAAATGAACGAATTTATGGGTTCTGTAGAGTAAGTTGTGGGATAAAATGAAAACGTTGATGACCTCCATTTTTATTTCTAGAAATCACAACACAAGCTTGGCACAACCTCCACCACAGATGTGCCCTTCCCTTTACCGCAGCATCAGTCTCCTCTACCACAGCACTGTTTTATTTTACAGGTCCTTCCAATGAAAAATAGAAGGAACAAGCTCCATCAAGCTTTGTTTTCTTCTTTATTCTCAGAAAATATTTTGGGCTTATTTTGATTTTATTCAACAGTCAAATCCTTTCCTCAGCTAAACAGTGAAGGATTTCACTGTGTTTTAATTAAACAGGTCAGATTTTTCCTGGTTTTCACACTATGAATTTCTGACATTTCAAGAACAGGTTGTCTCTGGAGTTTTACATTACAAGATACACACGGGTTTCAGAAAGAAAAAAAAAAAAAAAAGGAAGCTGAATTCACAAAAACATTGTGAACAGATAGCTTTTAAAGGTATTCCTGAGCCTGCAGAGGTTAAACAACTAATAATCTCCAGACAAAGTTTCTGAATACCACCCTCTTTAATCACAGGATCATAAAGTAGTTTTGAGTTGGAAGGGACCTTTTAAAGGTCACCTGGTTCAACCCCCCCATGCAATGAGCAAGGGCACCTTCAACCAGATCATGCTGCTCAGAGCCCTGTCCAGCCTCACTCTGAATGTTTCCAAGGCTGTGACATCTACCAGCAATGCAGGCAACCTGTTTGCTTCACCACCCTCATCATAAAAAAGTGCCTTCCTTACGCACTGTAATATGAAAACAAAATAAAGCTGAGAGCGTACAGCAGACCTCACTGTTACAAAATCAGAAATAAACATGAAGGAATGTACTTCACAGCTGCACATGGATACCACCTAGGACCCTGCTCTCTCTATAATGTTACTTCCAGTGCTACCTGGTATCCTTAAGGCTCCAGACATTTGCTTGTCCAGGAAAGCTGCACCTTTAATTCAGAACAGTTTTGAGCGCTGGTAGGCTACTGGTTCTTACTACTTTTCATGGAGACCTAGCACTGGGTACGAAGGCCATCATCTTTCAGACATTAACACATGCTATCAGATGAAATGATCTGAGGTCACTACACAGACACCATGTCTGAGCAAACTTTAGTTATGATTCTGCCCATAGTGGCAACATGACTCAAGCAGCAAGTGTGGTAAACAACTACTAGCTGTAAGTTACTACAGAGTTACCTACCATACTGTAATAAGTGGAAACAAATTATTTTTCCACCTCCTCACACCTGTATTTGAAGCACTCCTCTTGCCTAACAATTTAAACAAGTCTATGATACAGTTTATCAGGAAAAAAAAATCCATTTTAGTTTAATCAAGTTCACATCCAAACAATAAACACGCACCTTGGCCACTACTTGCATTTTAATATTACTATCAAACACATTGAAAGCATAATAAAGAGTGGGGAAAGGGGGTGTATTTTCTCCACTAACTGAAATAACCAAAAACATTCCCTCTCAGTCCCAGTTTTATACAGAAAGCTTTGGAAAGATGACCCCTACAACAGCTCACGATACCCCTGGATTTCACTTTGTCAGCAACCAACCATCACCACACAAAGTTTATTACACCCATGGTAACACACAGTACTGCGAAGGGCTGTTAGCAGCAATGTTCACAGTAATAGCTTCAGCCCTCACAACAGCCCACAGCACAAGTCAGCAAAGTCCTCTACTTCTGACGCACAGCCAGGCCCGCAGTCCCGCTGCCTTGAAGGGCCAGAGCCTGCGGTCCCGGGCAGCCTCACAGGCGAGGGCCGAGGCCTGCACCCCGCGAGGCCATGCAGCACCCGGGCCATGTTACGAGCGAGAACCAGGCCTCCAGTCACCCTCATCGCCCACAAACAGCCCCAGCCCCCGCGCTGCGTGCCCATGAAGCAGCCGCCTGCCCCCTCGTAACAGCACCCCGGCACGGACCCGAACCTGCGCTTCCGCTTCCCGCGGGGTGGGGCTACGCATGCGCTTGGCGTCAGGGGTGTGCAGAGCCTGAGGTCGGAGGGCTATGGGTGCTGTCGCTGTTGTGCTGGTGGTTGTTCCCCTCCCTTTCCCGGTCCGGGCCGGCCGCTGCAGCGGGTCCCTCCACATGGCAGCGACGCGGAGCGAAGGTGGCCGGGATGGTTTGAGCCCCGCCCGCGACCTGGTGTCCGTCGGCTTTGTATGGCCACAGTAGGGCCGGAGGAGCCGTTGTACGCAATCATGTCGGGAGCAGGCAGGAGGCACACGGGGGGGAGATGAAAGAGTCGCGCACCGACACAGCGAGACCCGGAGTCGTTCAGCGGGGGTTTATGTGGCCCCGTGGCGCTGGCATCGGGTAGACAAAGCTGCCCCGGCAGCCGGGGCCTTGGTTTGGCTTTGCTCGGCCGGCGGAGGGGAGCCCCGTTTCTCCCGGGGCACTGGCCTGGCTGCAGGCGTGCGGGGAGCACGACCCGGTTCCACCCCGCCAGCAGCAACAGGTGGGGAGACCTGAATAACTCCACATCTCGGGGGGAAGAGGGACACAGGGGAGCCGGTAGGGGATTAGATCAGATGTTATTGCTGGTGAAAAATTAAACAGAGCAGTGCTCTGGGGAGCACAGACTAATATATTTGGTGACTCGGCGTGCACAAAGCCTTGCCATTGTGGCCATGTCTGAATGCCTGTGAATAGGATGGAGCATATGTGGCCTGTCACCGCAGGTGCCCACATCTGTTCGTCTCCGGGCAGATGCTCTCAGAAAAGGGGAGAGCATTTCCAAAAGCTCGGGCCCGCCCCATCCATACCCATCTTCTTTCTCATAATCACCTTCTGCAGAAGAGTTTCTGCCCCCACCTTCTCCTTCCCCCCTCCCTCCTTCCCCTCACACGGAGGGATGAGGAAAGGAATAAAAACGACTCAAATTGGAAGTGGCTTGGGAAGCCCTGGAAACATACACTCAGACTGCACCCTCCACCCCCAGAGTTTATTAGCAGCAGGTTTTGCGCAGCAACAAGATGTGCACACCGTACCAAGGGGGCTGTGGGCCACAGGGGAACAGAAAACCCCTTCACACATGAAAAGCAGTACAGTACAGCACAGCACAGCAGAATGCTGGGCTGGTGTCGCAGAATGAGAGGGGCTTGTGCAGCTACTCTCTTGGAGTGGTGGTTTACAGCTACCATGATAGAGTTCTGGCTTAAGATGATGATTAATAAAACCAGAGAAAAGAGAAGAGGGGTTTTCCCTATGAGAACTGGTGAACGCAGTGAATATTGCTACCAAGGTTAGTAGCAGAAGGGAATCTTTCCAGCCATCCAGTGAAATCTCATGGCTGGAATGCAAAACGTTTTTCTGAGAAGTGTCGTCATTTTTTTTTATCCCATGTATATGACGGCAGCCTGACCACTCACCCTTCCTGCGCTGTGACACCATGGCCAAGACAAACCAGGCTTCTGCGCTGCACAGGGTTATGCCAGGCTTGCCTAACGGGGTGGTGGGTGCTGGGGCACAGGGCAGATCTCAGGACCACGGGAGGAATGCAAACGAGATCCGTGGCTTCTAGTGTAGAGAAGTCCGCTAATGTCCTTGGAGTTCAAGGAGGGCAAACAGGTCCCCAGAACGCGAGGCCGCGCTTCTTCCTGGCGGGGCACGGGTGCGGGTGTTGGGAACGTTTGAATCGCTGCATCCCGGAGCAGAGACCAGGAAGGGGGGTAGGCGGCGGGAGCGCCTGGCCCGGGGCACCCACGAGAGGCTTCAGGGCAGGGTCCTATTCCTGAGAGAGGGGAGCAAGGCGGGGGAAGCCTTCTTCCCCCGAGCCCCTGATGTCCCCTCGTCGCCGGGAGGCCCCACGGCTCTGCCCCCTCGAGCGGGCGGTGCTCCTCTGCTCCCGGAGCAACGGCAGTTTACGCACACGAGTGACCAATTTTATCCCTCGTAGTTTCCCACGAAGAAAATCCCGTCGGAAGCAAGCCAGGGAGCAAACACAAACAAACAAGTAGCGCAGGGGAACGGGATGGGACGGGGTGGTGGTGGTGGGTGTGTGGGGGGGGTTCTCGCTTTCTGCTCGTGTGCAATCAGTAAAACACATATAGGGGCCACTTCGGGATTTGCCCAGGGAAGGGTTGCAGAGCAGCTGGCTGCGGTAATCTCCTCGGGAGACAAAGGAATGCCCCGTCCTAGGATCACAGGTAAACACACAACCATTGTCATGAAAATGAGGGGCTAGGATAGGGCCGGAGCAGATGATTTGCGATTTGAAAAAGGGGCGGGGGGGGGGGGGGGAGGGAAGGCCCAGAGCTGCTTATCTATCATCTGGCCTCGCTGTGTGCCAGCTGAGCCACGCGACTGCCCTTTCTTATTCTAATCAGCACATGCCTTTGCAATTTTGGGCTAACCTACACGGTAAACTTCTTAATCCCCCTCCCCTCACACGGCAAGGCCGGCAGAGCCCCTTGCGGCACCTCCGCCCTCCCCGCCCTCCCGACTCGGGTCGGGTTGGGGCGCTCGGCGGCGGGGCCCCGGACAGAGCCCACACCCCGGGCACGCCGCCGAGCGCGGGGCCCGAGGGGGAGGCAGAGCCCAGGCCCGGCGGCGCCCCGCCTGCCCTGCCCTGCCCTCCCCTATCCTCCCATCCCGTTCCATCCCGTCCCGGGGGGACAGGTGAAGGGGGCGTGCGGGGAGGGCTGCGGCGGAGGGGCAGCCGCTCACACATACCTCCGTAGGGACTATAGACCTAATTAAAATATTATGCACACTCGGCTACACATAGCTCCACACGTACACGTCCCTCCGCCGACGCACCGTTCGCCATATGCCCGGAGCCCTCCGTCCCGGGAAAAAACCAGGGTTGCGCGCCAGCGATGGCAGAGCGTCGCCCTAATTAACACACACACGCTAATCCTTTTGAAGTGACTTTTCCCATCATCTGGCTCGCTTAGAAATAAAGGCCTCGGCTGACGGGGTGCTCTCGGCAGCGGTGCTGCGCTGCACACCGTAAATCCCCCCCGCCCGGGGCAGAGCAGGGGAGTGGTTGCAGGGAGGGTATCGATTAGGGCAGGAGGGAGAGCACAATACCCCACCCGCCCCAGCAAGTCGCTGCCACCCATGGCCGGGCCCACCGTATCCCGGCCGTGCGGGGTCACCGCATTCTGCCCCCGGGGGTCCCGCCGCCGGTTGTCCCCGGTGGGGCTAACGCAGCCGAGCCTCGGGCGTCGGTGTGGGAAAGATGTCCCATCCCCATGCGCGGGGGTCGGTGTCGGTGCGCGGTTACCAGCGCCAGGGAGGCGCGGGGGGCGGCGGGCGAGCGCGGTGCGGAGACACGCGGTTGGGAGCGAAAAAGCGCCATTTGGTTGGGAGCAGATGGCTGGCTGGGGGGCTGATCGCGTCTAAAGGCGTGTCATCCCCCTTCAGCGAGAATCCCTAAGGGCTCCCCTTGTCTGCGAAATCAATGAAAATTAAAGTGCAGAGAATGGATGAATAGTTGGACCTCGAGTCCCTCCTTTGTTCGCCTCAGCTACTGGTGGGCAGGAGTTAAACTACAACAGCCTCCTATAGAAACACTTAAGTTAAACAGTCTCCCCGTTAGCCCAGCATCTGAAAGATAGAGGGAGAGGGGGGAAAAAAGCAGAAAAAGGAGCTTTCTGCTTGATTTCCCCAATACAGAATCGCGTGGCATAAATTAAGCGGGAGAAGAATGAGCGCCGTGGGCAGGATCCTGCCGGCTCTCACGGCGCCTTTCAGTCACGCTCAGCAGCGGTAATCGAGAAATCTGTGCCACGTCAATTTAACAAATACCCGGTACCGAAGGGGGGTTGTTAAGGATTTGGGGGCAAGTTTTTTCGGGTCTTTTCTTTTTTTTTTCCCTGTCCCTGGGTTAAAGCCCTCGCGCGTGTAACTTTTTCTTTCCAGTTTTTTAAGCAAGGAGATGCTAATGGATCAACTTTCTGTCTCTCGCAGATTAAAAGATCCGCGGTGATATATCATTTCTCTCCTCCACCGACAGTCTACCCCCAAATATCAAGCCCCTCTCCGCCCCACTCGCTTAGTATCTCCTATACGAAGTGATCCCCCCCCCCCCCCCCCCTTTCCCGGGGGTAACGCTGCAGCCGAATTCGAGAAGCAGGAGCAAGCCACTTGTAAAGATGCTGACGCTAGGTGGCAAAAGTAATGTACAGTTCAATCCGGCGTTGCTTCCGAGTGTCGTGCTTGTGTGTCCCGGTCCCCGCAGCAGCCGAGGATGGGTACCGAGAGGGTGGGAGGGTTGGGGGGGGGGGCGGCCGGTCTGCCTTAGACCCGCCACCTTCCCCTCTCCCTCGCATGGTGCCTGCGGGATCGCTGCTCCCCTCTTTGCCTAGATACAACTCCGGGGTGGGGGGAAACCCCAAACATTCCTGTACATTTAAGCTTTCGCTTAAGCGTCGAGGGGCGCGGAGAAGGGAGGAGAGTACCTGTATGCAAGCCCCTCGTCCGACCAAAATTAGATGTAAAGGACGCACACATTGAGTTGCAGAAGTCTGTATATTTGTTAAAGTACCGAGGGTACCTGCTCGGGTTTGGGGTATATGCCACCAACACCCAGTAAATGAACGTGGGCAGCTACAGTCCTGAACAGGCAAGAAGAGCTGGGCTGAATGAACTCATTAGTGATTTTCTTTTAATTGGTATTACCCAATGCGTTTACTTTAAGGA